AGTCCAAGGCACTCTCAGAACTTTCCTCCAACACCACAGCTCAAAAGCATCGATCTTCCTTCGCTCAGCCTTCCCTAAGGTCCAGCTCTCACATCCGCTTTCATATTAGTATACTACATAATTATTCTCCTTTCTGTTTGATCAAAAACAGTTTATCAGTTTAAAGAAAATAAAGAACAGATAGTATGTTTTCCCAGAACAATGACTCCAATATTTGTAGTATTTCAATATGTATAGCTGACCCACGTATTATGTGAGCTGGTTGAATGTAATTTCAGGTATATGTGAGAAGTTTGAATACCAAAGAATTCTGAGGGCCCTTCCACACAGCTCTATATCCCAGAATATGAAGGCAGAAAATCCCACAATATCCACTCTGAACTGGGTTATTTGAGTCAACTGTGTGGAAGTGCCCTTAGCGAAGTGTTCTTTCTAGACCTCCAGTGTGATTCTCTGGTTAACTTCTTCCACAGGTTTCACTGGAAATCCCACCAGAAGTTGACCATAGAGTCATGCTAAGGACACTTCTCTGGGCATCACTAAGTCCTCCTGCACAAGTCTATAGTGTGCTTTGGCTAGAATCTTAAACCATGGTTCATTTCAGTTAAAAATTGTGTATGAACATCATATTACATAAACAGATTTTTCACAAAATACTTGGGCCTTCTGTAATCTTTCCACACATACTGAAAGCCTCAGATATTTATTAACAAATGAGATAGGAGAGAGGTCCTTGAGTTTTTGCAGCTTTACATTGCTTCACTGGGAGTCCTGATGAATTCATGTTCTACTTTTTAGTGGTTTTATTGATGAACTATAACTCTGAAGACCAGGGTTCAAATTGTCAGGGATTCAAATCAGCATGAAATTCTTTGTTGTGTAGTGAAAGGGATTCTTCACTCTTTTTGGGCAGGCAAATAACTTATTCTGTGGTCTCATCAGGAACAAAAACAACATGCAGGCACAAAGCTGTTCATTCCAATTGGAAGGCTTTTCTTTCTTAAGTTGCAGTAATAAATAATAATAATCATCATCATCATCATCTTTATTTGTATCCCACCCTATCTCCTCAAAGGGACTCAGGACAGTTCTCAACATATAAGGCAAAGGTTACAAATACTAACACAATATGTACAAACTCTAGCATATCTTCATCCTCCAACCCTCATCAAGTTACTACAAACTTCTATGCAACAGCCTCAGTACTCTGCTACCACACCCCAATTACAGTGACACCGGTGTTTAATCCTAAAACATTGATTCTGTTAGCACTTAAATAAATGCTGAGTAATTTACATATTCTGACACAAATCAGTCATTGAAACCCACTGGGCGACCTTTGGCAAATCACAGTCTCTCAATCTCAGAGGAAGGCAAAGACAACCCCCTCTAAACAAAGTCTGCCAAGAAAACCCTGTGATAGGACCACCATAAGTTAGAAACAACATGGGAACACACAACTATCACCAATTTCTACAGAAATGAAACAGACAATAAGAACACAGATTGATCAAACTAAGACTTCTTCTACACAGATATTTAATCTGAGTGAGAATGTAGACTAAAAAGAGCGAGTTCGCTGCAGAGTACCTACACAAATACCCCAGGAACAGCCAGAAGCTGAAACAGTAGCTATATATTTTTTCCTTAATCTTGTCTGGCATAATGTGCTGGTAAGAAGCAACTTGCCTGATAAGAATAACACTAAATGTAAGTAAGGCAAAGCAAGAAAGAGAAAACAAATGCTGTGGTTTCCTCACAGGGAGGTATTTATTTACCTTTCCACTGAGTTGTGTATCCAGTTTCTTCCCCAAAATGTTTTGGTGCTAGTCTTATCCTCAAAGGTGCTCCACATTTTGGTCTTGGATTGCTGCTCTGCATGGGATATACACTGATCAGCTACAGCTGATTTTATGACTTAAAACTGGGCTTTCCAGTGAGGTTTTTTAAAAGTGCTGTTTCTGGCTGGATGCACATTGCAATGCACATTGGGGGTGTCCATTTTGTGGACACCCCAATCTTGAGCTAGCTTGAAACTGGATTTTAATGCCTGTGTAGATGGACCATAAGAAATTGGACTAATCACCGGTAGTTCCTCCATACTTATGCATAGAGATATATATAAAAGTGTTTCAGTAAAACAAGGAAAGGTTAAATATTTTGATAAACAGAAAATGTTTGCTTTGTTTTCTATCTTCTAAGTAGCACCATTTGAATAGAAAAGATAAGTCCCTTGATTTCTGAAAAAGAATTGATTCCTAAACTAATAAACTTTAAAAAGTTTATCTTCATTGCTTCACACAGTTAAGTAAATACTATAGGCTAAAAGGAACTGTATTGGTGTTATTTCGAGCCATTAAGTTTTTCATCAAGATTCATTGGCACCTGATTTCACCATTCTGATAAAGTCTCGAATGGACTTGTTTTTTGTTTTACTATTGCTGATTGTTAAGCTGATTCCATATACTTAATTGACTGTTAATCATTCCTATACCGTTCATTCTCCATCTTTTTGATTAAAAAGATTCTTCGATTTGGTTTGGTGAAATGTTTTTTAGTTGAATCTTTTGTAAACATTATTCAGTAGAAATAAAAACAAACTTAAATCTTTTTTTGCTATGTCATAGTTTTACTACATTCCCAAGTATTTGCCATGTTGATGCTTCTCGGCACAGATGACAGGTTACCATCAATTTGTGATATATTGTCTGTGTGGTTGTTCAAAGTGATTTATATAAATATACATGTTATTGTGTCTGTTCAAAGTAGATTTCTGTAAAAGGGATACAGAATATTATTGAAGAGTGATGGACTGCATTAGCATCTGTATTCAAAGAGTAGGACACTGTTATTAGTACTAAATTTGCCAGGTTAGCAGATAAAATAATCAGTGAATTTGGTGAGCCTGATCATGCACGAGCAGCAATTCTAAATTTGGATTAAAATTCATCTTAAGCACCTGTGATGAGATTTAAGTTATTAAGTATATTGTTTGTCAAATAAATATCTAATACTGCATTTGAGAATCGTTACAACCTCCCTTGTCTCATGTTTATCAGAGAAAGAGATGGAGCGCAACATATCACTAGAGATCTGTTCTACTTTGGCTAATAGCATCTCAGTTGGCCTATAGTTGTTCCTAAAAATGTATTAAGAGCTGCATTGGCAAAATCTTATATTCATCCAGTCTAGTATCTTGACATTTAAGAGTGATCAGACTCAAATACCTAGAAGAGTAAAAAAATATATAGGGGGGGGGGGGGAATAATTATGCATATTTGCAGATCAAAAGACATAAGAGAAGCCATAATCAACAATCTCCTGATCCTGCTACTTACACCAAAACCGGGTCTCTTCTACACTGCCATACATGGCAGTGTAGACTCCTATAATCCAGTTCAAAGCAGATAATGTGGATTATCTGCTTTGATAATCTGGAATATAGGGAAGTGTAGAAGGGGCCTCAGTTATCTTCCTTCCCAACTCATCCAGGGCACATTGATCCCACCACCCCACCTTTGGTACACTATTGATGATGCCATTCCATGGTTCATCTGAATCAGGTTCAATCTTCCCTGGATTTTGTGTCTGTCTGTCTGTCAGGAGCAGATTGAGAAACTGCTAGTCACTAATAGTGTGACTTCCCTGGATGAGTTGTGTCAAACCAATTTTGTTTCTGAGTACAGGAATATGATACGTCATACTAACCTTGGCAGAAATAATGCTATTTCATTTTCTTTAGAAATAATAATATAAACAATATTTACAAAATTATCATATAACTGAAAAATTGTATCTTCAAATGATACTTTGGTGTGTATAGTTATCCCGACTGTCATATTTGGTCAGGTTTCCCTATATATCTATATACCCAGGGACACATAAAATTTTTATCTGTTGGAAAGTGGAAAAAGTTTAAGAAGTTCTGCTCTAATGTAATTCAGGTCCCTAAAAAAATGTACATTGCAGACAGTCCCCTATATGCTATCCAATAGCTTTGGATAGCATAAGAAAGTATTAACAACCCTGTGGTGTTTGTTTTGCTGCTTGTGCCCCTGTCCAGAAGATTTCGCCTCCCTTTCTTTGATAAGTGGCATTTGGAAACAACAATTGGTGAGAAAGCTAAAGACCATCTAAAGATACATCTCTTCCAGACAGTTTTCAACTATGAATCTTAAACTCATGTCCTTTGTTTGATGTCTATTTTGTGTATTTTAATATGTATTTTATAGAAATGCAGTTTTAATGTGGATCTTTTATATAAATATGTATATTTTTGCAATGTTCATGTTTTTTAATTGTGTTATAACCCACCTCGAACCACAGGAAGAGGTGGGTAAGAAATAAAATAATAGTAATAATAATAATAATTATTATTATTATTATTATTCCCATGGTAACTCTTTCAGGACTGAATTTCCCTGCATAGATTTCTCTCACTTCCTGTTGTCTCACACCCGTTCGTAACTATGGGTCATTTGCAAGCCAGATGTTTGTAACTTGGGGACTGCCTGTTGATGCAAATCTGGAAGGGTTGGATATTGTCTGATAAAGAAAGGAGTAACACTGAAGTTTTGGGACTTGATATTCAGTTGGCCGCCCTCCAAAAATGAATGTTGCCCTTTTAAAATAGAAGCCAGTAATGTCAAGCAGGACAAAATTCAGGGCTAAGAAGTGCCAGGTTTGTTAGGCTCCCAGCTCATATAAAGTTAAAATGTCAAGGAGAAGACTAGGGCAAAGCTGTCTTCCTGATAGCTTTCCTCAAAGAGAGAGCTTTCTGAAGCGATAGAACAGTCTTCTGTGTTCTCCCCTAAAGCTCTTGTCCCCATGCGACTGTCATAAATCTCCACTGAAAATGTTTTAAACAATTGTGGAGGGTTGTGGTGGCTTTAAAAGAACTTCATTCTCCTATATGAATATTAATGTTGCATAATCTGTGTATTCCATGTAAAACTAGACATTCTACACACAGTTACTTACCATGTATTTTTTATGTCTAGGAGCACTAAATCAAACAAGCTGGGGGAAAAAATATCCTGCATGCAATGGTGCCAAACAATCACCTATTAATATTGATGAGGATCTAACTCAAGTGAATGTGAATCTTAAGGATCTGAAATTCCAAGACTGGGAGAAAGAAACATCAAAAGATACTTTAATCTACAACACAGGCAAAACAGGTACAAAATTCATTTCTAGCATTTTGAATGACTTAATTTTCATACAGTGAATACTTTTTGTATGGGAAGTAAATGTGTATGGATATTAAATCTCCTGCGTCGTTTCCCCCCTTTTTTCCATCTTCTTGAAGTTAGCAATTAAGGGGGAAACAGCTGGCAATAGCAATCAAGCATCATGTCAAGAAGATTCAAAGAGAAAAGAAAGATGCTGCAAAAATAGTCCCCAGAAATCACATGGTTACTATAATTCAATAATGTATACATGCTGAAAATGAAGATTTGGATATTTTACACATAGTAATTATTAGTAATAGCTACTAGGCCTGGGCGGTTTCGTTTCGTTAATTCGTAATTCGTTAATAATTCGTTAATTTTTCCAATTACAAAACGATAACGAACCATTCTGGAGCAATCATAAAAAAACGAATTTTTTAACACATTTTGTAAATGCTTCGTATTTCGTTATTGTATTCGTTTCGTTATTGTTCTGAGGTCGTTTCGTTATTATTTCCGCATGTCTGGGCCAGTTTTATGGTTTAATTAGTGAAAAAAAATTATAATATCACACCAACAGTCAAGAACAGAGGGAGAGGGAAGCTTCAGAAGTTTTTGGAGGTTTTTTAGCGTATTTTGCAGTCGCGTCTGCCATTAACGAATCGATTCGTTATTGTTTCGGAAATCGATTCGTTAATTTTTTACCATTTACGAAATTTCGTAAATATCGAACTTTTTAAAAGGAAAATTTTGTAATTATTTTAAATATCGAAACAAAAAAAACCCCCAAATACAAATCGATTTTAGAAACAAATTTTTGCGTTGTTACCCAGGCCTAATAGCTACAGTTGACCTGCTGCTATGCTGATCTTTTCAGAACTACCCAGCCAGTAATTACAAAGATATTGGTGCAAAGACATTTACATTGAATAAATTATTCTTCTTACATGTAGGGTTGTAAAGAGGACACATCTGTTTAATTATTCATCTACTACTAGCCACAACTGATCCTATGGAAGATTGCTAGTGAGCCATGCAAAGAGAGATACAAATAGGAAAAAGAATATAAAGTACACTAATGCAATTTGCTTGGTTTCTGAATTTATAAAATATCACTCTGCTAAGTTGCTGATGAGGTTAGAGATTTGACAGAATATCTCATGTACCATAAGGCCAAATAAAATTGTGAATCTTCTTCAAATTCTTAAAAAGTCAGTTCTGAAGGAAAAGAACTTTCTAAGGCTGGATCTACACTGCCCTATATCCCAGGATTTGATCCCAGATTATCTGATTATCCCAGATTATCTGATAATGTAGACTAATATAAACCAGTTCAAAGCAGATAATCTGGGATTGGATCCTGGGATATAGGGCAGTGCAGATCCAGCCTAACTTAATCTGTTTCCTGGGTGCGTGAGTTGGTGGGTTTTTGGCTTTTTACTCAAACAGCAGTTTCTCATGCTGAATTAGCTGAGAACACATCATTTGAAAACAGAAGGATGTTGCTAAAACATCTTGTAGATTGATATTGAAGTCTGTTGATAAAAGGAGAAATTTTGGAAGTTCTACTGGCATTTTAAAACTATTAGGTGCACCAGAAATCTTTGCTTGGATCCCAACTTCAGAATTTCTTAAAAGGACATGAATGTTATTTCAAATTGCTATGTTTCTGTTCAGATGTGAAGGACTTTTTCCTCTCTTTACACATTGTCTCACTGAACTGTAACTCTATGAAACGATGGCATTTGGAAATTTTGAAAGAAATTTGAAAGAAATAGTAGGAGATATATATATATTCTTATTTAATGTTGCAGTTTCTGGCTCCTCTGACTAAACTAGAAGCCTTGCACTTTCTGAATCAGATTTCTCATAGAGAGAAGCATCATTCCCCTGACTTGAATCTTCTTCACTTTGAGCACCAGGAAATCCCACAGGCAATCCCACAATCCTCTCTAAATCATCAGTGAACCCATCAGCCTCAGGAGTCTCAGGCTGATCTCCAGCATGACCTCACTCTAGTGCTGATATGTTTTAATAACACGATAGATGTTAAGAATTATTAATAATAATAAGAATTATTAATGACAACTCTTTTTCTCTTTAGTGGAAATTAAGCTGATAAATGAATATTTTGTGACTGGAGGAGGCTTAGAAGGAGTATTTAAAGCAAGCAAGATAATGTTTCACTGGGGAAAATGCAATATATCTCAAGATGGATCTGAACATAGCATAGATGGACAAAAATATCCTCTTGAGGTAATCAACAAAACTTTACGTAATTGAAATTACTTTATAAGTAATTCGAAATGCCATGGTTATGTAGGAGCAGGCCCGTAGCCAGGATTTCGATTCGGGGGGGGGGGGG